GCGAAATCTAGCCACAGCTGAATGGACGGAGATCCTTTTCATGAGGAATCCGTACTATTTATTCCCCCTTTATCACAAGCGAGACGCGGCTCTGTTGACAGTCGCGCGTTGTAACTGTTTTTGAGTTTGAGATGCAAAATAATTCTTATCGCCAGTTAAATTATTTCGGCAGTAAAATGTAATTAGGATTTTCATATATTATACGTTTTCAGTCGAGACAAGGTTCGATCTCGAAAATAGTTATTGTTAAATTCTAGAATCTTCGATCGGCAATAATAAAGTCACATTTGTTTGTAATGGAATAAAAAAGAGTCGTAAATTGACAGCTGTCATATAAAAAAACGCTCAAATACACAAACAAGTAACGGTGTCGCAACCGTTCCGCCGAATAATTATATGCTATTGAGCATGCGCCACTTTAAAATCACGCAAAATTATTGGCGCTTCACGCGAGGGTGGGCTCCTCTCCGAAAATGATAAAAGAGGAGCTCACACCCGGTTTGAGGTCTTATCGCTTTCCGCCGTGTACGCATAAGAGTAAACCGCTTAGAAAAAACCGCAGAACATTAAATCGACGACCACCGCCTTTTCTTTTGATTTCGAATTGTCCGCTGAAACTGATTAGATTTTGTGTTAATTTTTTGTGCGTTTAATTGTTAAGTATTGTACATTATATTTCCGTAAAGATTCGTATATTAAAAGTTTCTTTTATACTAAAAGTGACTCATCCTTTTTTGGTGTCGTTCGATTCCTCTCACGCAGCGCGTTCGCGAACATATTTCTGGTCCTTCGAGCCGGATCTTCTCGCCGGCACCCGCAAGTTTGTGAACGTGTCTTCGTGTAGTTCGTGAGTGCTCGTAGTTCACCATGGATGTGAACACGTTGATCGATTGCCAACGTGAGATCCAGGTCCGTATTTCGCGCTCCGTGGAATACCTGAAGAAGCTGGGCACGACCAACATCACCGCCAGTGCCGTATCTACACGCACCAGAATCTTAGATCAGCTGTGGACGAAATTCGAGGCACAGCATGATCTCATTCGCGCAGCTCTGAAAGAAAAATATTGTGAGAGCGAATACTACAAGTCGGAGTTGCATGGAGATACGGAAAATCTGTACGTTGCACAACGCAGTACCTTGGATAGTTATGCCGAACATTTCCGGAAGCCGAACGTATCTCCATCCGTCGACGTCGCATCGAAGTCTTCGCTGCCGCGCATCAAGTTGCCGCCGTTCTCTGGCGCCTACGCCGATTGGCCATCCTTTCGCGATCTTTTTCTGTCCATTGTGAGCAGCAATTCGATCTCGAACATTGAGCGGCTCCACCACCTCCGCTCGTGTCTGACAGGTCCGGCTGAAGGTTGATAAAGTCACTACCTGTCACGAGTGACAATTACGATCGCGCTTGGGCAATCTTGGACAAGCACTACAATAACAAAAGAGAATTAATCCGCTCCAACTTTGCCACGTTTACCGCCGTGCCAAAGATGAAGGGAGATACCGCCGAGGAGCTGAGCCGCATCCACAACGCTGTCACCGCCGCAGTCAACGCACAGGAGAGCATCGGACGTCCTATCAACTCGCATGGGATGGACCTGTTCAACCACCTGGTCGTCGAACTGTTCGACGCACGCACTCGTCTCGAATGGGAGTCAACCACTTCAGACTCCACCGAACCACCACAGAACGAGGCACTTCTCGACTTTATTAGTCGACGAGTATTGACGCTCAACGCCGCACGACCGAGGAGTGTCACACAGGGACCTGGAGAAACATCACGATTCGCCAAAGCGCACGTCACGAAGCACCAAGGCGCGGATTCACCTCACTGTGCACTGTGCCGTGAAAACCATACCTTGATGACGTGCAAAAGCTTCAAGGCCAAGACTGCGGTTGAGCGGAAAACGTTCGTGGAGACCAACCGACTGTGCTTCAACTGCTAGGCAATCATTTCTTAGCACGGTGTCAGTCAAAAAAGAATTGCCTCACCTGCAACGCACGACACCACACCATGCTGCACGGGGCATCCACATCAACACCATCCGCTGAGGCCACTTCACTTGCCACCACACTGGTCACTGCACGGCAAGCTAAGACGCACAAGGCCGTCCTTCTCGCAACCGCTCGCGTCAAGGTCGCTGATCGATACGGATCACCACACGAGGTTAGAGTCTTGATAGATCAGTGCTCCGAGGTGTCCATCATCTCTGAGGCTCTGGCTCAGCGTCTTCGGCTGCCTCGAGCTTCAACGGATCTGTCCATCTTCGGCATCGGAGGGACTCGCTCTGGATCAGCGCGTGGCAAGGTCACGATAGACATCACATCTGACGTGACCAATGCCGAGCTTCGCGTGGTGGCCTTTGTGCTGCCGCGCATCTCATTGCAACAAGGCACCGCTCAACGTGAAGATCGTAGCTGGCCTCACATCCACGGACTTCGATTGGCCGACCCGCGCTTCCTGGATGACGATCCTGCGGAGTTACTTCTGGGAGCAGAAGTCTACTCGCTGATCCTCGAGGAAGGCCTTCGCAAGGGCGGATCACGGATGCCGATCGCCCAGCAGACGAGCTTAGGATGGATCTTGTCCGGAGGCTACGACGCCGCAGCACCCGAAGGCCATCGCCGCACGTTCCAGTGCACCACAGACCACGACCTCGCTAACATGGTTCGACGCTTCTGGGAGCAGGAACGCGAGCCAGTAGCTGGGACACACGCTCACCGCCGACGAAGCCAGGTGCGAAGACTTCTACGTGCGCACGGTCACTCGCACGTCCAGTGGCAGGTACATGGTGAGGCTGCCATGTACTTCACCCCGCCGACATCGCTCAGCGAGACTCGTCGACCCGCAGAGCGCCTCCTGGAAGCCATGGAGCGGAAGGGAGCACGAGATCCTCGCTTCGGTGACCTCTATCGAGATTTCATGGAGGAATACGAGAACCTGCAACATATGGAGGTCAGCACAACTTCAACAACCTGCAGCCCTAGGTGCTACTTACCGCATCACGGGGTCCTCAAGGAGTCAAGCACGACCACGAAGCTCAGGGTCGTGTTCAACGGCTCCCAGCGCACACGGTCCGGAGAGTCGCTGAACGCACACCTCCTCACTGGAGCCAATCTCTTGCCAACACTCGCTGATGTCCTACTTCGTTGGCGTTGGCATCGGTACGTTCTCGTCACGGATATCGAGAAGATGTACCGACAAATTCTTGTACATCCGGAGGATCGTCGCCTGCAAACCATCTTGTGGCGCCACACCAGCTCTGATGACGTCCACGAGTACGAGCTGAGGACCGTGACCTACGGGCTAGCGTGTGCACCCTTTCTCGCCATCAGGACTCTTCATCAACTCGCAGCAGACGAAGAGGCACGATATCCACGCGGAGTCAAGGCACTGCGACACGACTGCTACGTCGACGACGTGGTCACCGGCGCTGATAGCTTGGAGGACGCTATCGACCTTCAGCAGGAACTACGGAGTCTTTGCATGGCGGGCGGATTTCCTTTGAGGAAGTGGGCTGCCAACGATCAGCAGGTGCTCACCGGAGTTCCACCGGAACATCGGCATCAACGCAAACCGCACTCATGGGAGGGAGAGAGTCACGCTACCTTGGGCCTCCGATGGCATCCGCAAGGTGACTGGTTCTCCTTCACCATACGTCCGCGTGCAATCACCGACTTCACGAAGCGACGAGTTTGGGCCGAGACGGCTCGACTCTTTGACCCGATGGGGTGGCTCGCACCTGTCGTCATCAGAGCCAAAATTCTGATTCAGACGACGTGGCTTCAACGGCTGGACTGGGACTCCCCGCTGCCTGATCAGGACGCACACCGCTGGAGGCAGTTGTTGAATCAGCTTCCTCTTCTAGATGACATCCGCATAACTCGCTGGCTCAACACTGGGACCGACCATTCACAACTGCAGCTCCATGGGTTTGCCGACGCATCAGAGCGAGGGTACGCCGCCGTGGTGTACATCCGCAACGCTGCAACAGAGAAAACATCAATCAACCTGTTGATGGCAAAATCCAAGGTCGCACCTGTCAAGCAGGTGTCGTTACCTCGCTTGGAACTCTGTGCAGCAGCTCTACTTACCACGCTCATGCTCCACGTGCGCTCTACTCTCGGTTTGACAACGACGCCAGTGCATCTGTGGTCAGATTCAAAGGTCACGCTCCACTGGATTCAAGGACACAGCACCCGCTGGAAAACCTTTGTCGCCAATCGAGTGTCTCAGATCCAGACCCTGCTGCCAGACGCTCAATGGAGACACATCGCTGGACGAGAGAATCCTGCAGATTGTGCATCACGCGGTGTTACTCCTGACGAACTCATTAAGCATAAACTGTGGTGGACAGGACCTACCTGGCTGTCAGGAGACGAGACTGCATGGCCTTGTTCCGTCATCGAAGCCGCAGAGGATGACCTCCCGGAGCAGCGAGCCACCAGTTTGGTGGTCAAGGCACCGATCACGGCCGAACCTGACCTCCTCCTCCGGTTCCCGACGCTACAAAGGCTGCTGCGAGTTACTGCATGGTGTCGGCGATGGCTCAATCCGGCGAGACGCGACGTCATACTTGGCCGCACTTTGCATCCGGACGAGCTGGACGTCGCCTTATTTCGATGGCTGCGAGTGGTGCAGGCGCTCCACTTCCTACGGACGTAGCTGCGGCCTCTGCTGGACGCACTAGTCCACCGCGAAGCCACCTAGCGAGGTTGAGTCCGGTCCTCGATGATCAAGGCGTGCTGCGCGTCGGAGGACGTCTCAAGCATGCTCAGCTACCACTCGACGAAAGACATCCAATGATCATCCCGGCGGCATCATGGTTGACTCGGCTGGTGATTGATTCCTGCCACCGACGGACACTGCACGGAGGTGTGCAACTGACTCTCGGCTTGCTCCGCCTGCGTTTCTGGGTGCCCCGAGGAAGGACCACCGTCAACAGCAGCTACACCGATGCGTGACCTGCACTCGATGGCGCGCCGCAACACCACAGCCTCCGATGGGTAACCTTCCTCGGGACCGAGTAACGCCAACTCGACCGTTCCTCAGCACCGGTTTGGACTACGCGGGACCAATCCTCCTCCGGACCAGCAAGGGGCGTGGACACCGTGCGCACAAGGGATACATCGCCGTCTTCGTCTGCTTCTGGTCGAAGGCCATTCACTTAGAAGTTGTCTCGGACTACACCTCGGAGGCCTTCATCGCCGCGCTGCGCCGCTTCATCTCCCGCCGGGGTTTGTGCGCTGAGATTTACAGCGACTGCGGCACGACTTTCATCGGGGCAGATCGGACGCTGCGAGGTCTTTTAACGCAGCGACAGCCGAAGGTCAAAGTGTCATCCTTGCCGCCACCGCTCAAGGAATCCGCTGGCACTTCAACCCGCCAGCGGCCCCGCACTTTGGTGGTTTGTGGGAGGCCGCCGTAAAGTCGACCAAGTTTCACCTCCGTCGGGTGATCGGCGAGACCACCCTCACGTTCGAGGAGTTGAGCACACTCCTCGCCCAGATCGAAGCTTGTCTGAATTCACGTCCGTTACAGGCACTCTCAGATGATCCAGAGGACGTCTCGGCGCTGACCCCCGGTCACTTCCTCGTTGGGGCACCGCTCCTCGCCTTGCCGGAACCGTCATTGACAGAGCAGACGGTGTCCACCTTGTCACGTTGGCGTCATCTGCAGCGGATGAGGGATCACTTCTGGCAGCGATGGTCATCCGAATACGTGCACGGACTCGCCCCGCACCAAGTGCTCAAGGATGCACCTGCACCCCACGTCGGCGATCTCTGTCTCGTGCGCTCCGAGATCACCCCTCCGAGCCGATGGCCTCTCGCTCGCATATTGCGTTTGCACCCCGGAGACGACGGAATTACACGCGTCGTGACCATCCGAACGGCCACGTCCGAGCTCGTGCGCCCACTCGTCAAGCTCGTGTTTCTTCCGGGCGTGAACGACGCGCCTACACCGCACATTGACACATAGCATCACTCACTACACATCATCACATCATGCACCATATCAATTGTCACACATCACTTGTTTCGCTCACCACCGCACTAAAACTTGTCTCATTTTCACCGCTCACTGCATCTCACACTCGCCGTTCACATCTGCCACATGTTTTCGCCGTTCCAGCTGATCGATTCACATCACGCGATCACCACGTGTTTTCGTCGACTCAGCTGATCGATTCGCAACACGCGATCATCACGTGAATTTCGCCGCGCCGACGCGAGCCCGCCCCACCATCAATCACCATCGGAATGTGATCCGCGCCGAAATCATCATCAACCATTTGTCACGTTGCGACAAGGCGGGCGGGATGTTTGAGATGCAAAATAATTCTTATCGCCAGTTAAATTATTTCGGCAGTAAAATGTAATTAGGATTTTCATATATTATACGTTTTCAGTCGAGACAAGGTTCGATCTCGAAAATAGTTATTGTTAAATTCTAGAATCTTCGATCGGCAATAATAAAGTCACATTTGTTTGTAATGGAATAAAAAAGAGTCGTAAATTGACAGCTGTCATATAAAAAAACGCTCAAATACACAAACAAGTAACGGTGTCGCAACCGTTCCGTCCGCCGAATAATTATATGCTATTGAGCATGCGCCACTTTAAAATCACGCAAAATTATTGGCGCTTCACGCGAGGGTGGGCTCCTCTCCGAAAATGATAAAAGAGGAGCTCACACCCGGTTTGCGGTCTTATCGCTTTCCGCCGTGTACGCATAAGAGTAAACCGCTTAGAAAAACCGCAGAACATTAAATCGACGACCACCGCCTTTTCTTTTGATTTCGAATTGTCCGCTGAAACTGATTAGATTTTGTGTTAATTTTTTGTGCGTTTAATTGTTAAGTATTGTACATTATATTTCCGTAAAGATTCGTATATTAAAAGTTTCTTTATACTAAAAGTGACTCATCCTTTTTTTGTGTCGTTCGATTCCTCTCACGCAGCGCGTTCGCGAACATATTTCTGGTCCTTCGAGCCGGATCTCTCGCCGGCACCCGCAAAGTTTGTGAACGTGTCTTCGTGTATTTCGTGAGTGCTCGTAGTTCACCATGGATGTAACACGTTGATCGATTGCCAACGTGAGATCCAGGTCCGTATTTTCGCGCTCCGTGGAATACCTGAAGAAGCTGGGCACGACCAACATCACCGCCAGTGCGTATCTACACCACCAGAATCTTAGATCAGCTGTGGACGAAATTCGAGGCACAGCATGATCTCATCGCGCAGCTCTGAAAGAAAAATATTGTGAGAGCGAATACTACAAGTCGGAGTTGCAAGATTCGTATATTAAAAGTTTCTTTATACTAAAAGTGACTCATCCTTTTTTTGGTGTCGTTCGATTCCTCTCACGCAGCGCGTTCGCGAACAGTAACTTACGACGTGATCCTCCTTCACTTCTGAAAACGCGGTACGGTCGTTGACACGACGACGCCGGGATAATATTTCTTTTTCTCCTACCCTCATCCTCCTCTTATCCTGCCAAAGCGCCATATCACACATACATATTAGGCAAAGCGTAAAAGAGTATGAAGAATTTCCTGCTCTCCGTACCGTTCTGTTCCGCCCTTTCTCTTTTTTTTTTTTTTTTTTACGTTGTCGAGTGCGAGGGTGGATCAAAAGGATACGTCTTCTCAACATTCGTGCGTGCATATGATAGCGAAATATCATCGTAAACATCCTCTTGAAACTCGGACTGACGTAAATCCCAACAGCCGTCGTTTATTCGACGATAAAAACGTCGTTCATCGAGAAATATAAAAATCAACGACAGTATCAAAGCAGGAAAAAAAATATATTAACATTTTTTATGAACGGACTAGGAAAAATCGAGTTTCCATTAAAATTATACGATATCACGTGAATCTCCAGGGAATTATTTTCCAAGGAATTATTTCAAGGAAATACATCTTTAGAGGTAATTTTTAGCGGAGAGACTATATATATATATCAGACCGGATATCTGCAGAAGTTACCGAAGTACTTTTTCGCTTCGATAAATCATATAACTTCAATTTCTGCTAATGGAAAGACTCAAAATTGTTTGAGTTATTATTTATAAATTATTAAACAAAAATTTTTTTAAGCAATCAAGTTTTATGCGCTTTACTTTTTCACAACAATTAAAAATTTCATAATCAATGACTACTATGTATTAATTTGTTATTTTATTTCTTAAGAGATACTTTATCCAAATTATTTTTCGAAGATTGTGCGATTATTAATGACGAGAATTCTCTCTTGACTCTGAATCTACCGAGTGGTCAGCGCGGAAACGATGTGATCAACTATCTCCGACGTTTCGTGTCCCAACGAGCGAGATTGGAACAGTGGAAACGTCCTTTCATAAATCCTAAAGATTCACGGGAAGCTGCGGGACTGTGCCAGTACCACTGGTATCCCTCTGATCCCGCAAGAATATACGAGTCTTAGCCGCGTGCGATATAAATTTTACTTGTGAGACACAGCGCGCAATAGCGTGCTCTCCACTGTTTTTCTCCTTCAATGCATCGAGAATGAAATTTGGTGGCCTCCCAAATGCAGCGTGAGACTTTCTATGAAATATTAAAAATTTACGTCAACTCTGCGACGATAAAAGAATTGTCCCGTTTCGAGGAAAAATTCTCAATATTCTTTGCGCAAGACGTAACGTATATCTTAAGAGCCTTACAGTATATATCGGGGAAAATCACATCAGTCGAATGAAGGAAACATAACCCGAGCTTCCAATATCAAAATACCCGATATATGTCCCGCGCGACGTCGTTATTGATAAGGAACCTATCGCTGAACAAGATTCTCTTGGCAAAGGAGATAAATTTCAGAAATCTCCTAGGACGAACGAGAACGTTTGGCAGAGAAAATAAAACATCCGAACACGAAGGAGTTCGGGGCACGAAGGTGCAATATTCGTATCAATGACGAAAAACTCATGTATTAGTTTATATTTGTCTAAAACGTGTTGTAAAAAAATCTCGCGTTTTTCTTATTAAACAAATTTATTAACATTTATTTGCATCATTTAAGCTTCATCAAAAGATCTTCTCGTGTTCGAAAGTTGTTCCGATACTACGCCTAATCCTACACTTTTTAATTTAATTTGTTACACGCATAAATGGAAGAAAGAAATTTCTGTAAAGAATATTTTTTCCTTTTATTCGTTTGCCTCGGGGTATCTTTTAGGATCATCTAACCAAGATTATATCATTATGTCAGGCAACAATTTCTCATCTCGCTTTGCTGTTTGAAAAAACAAAAGAATTAGCGGATCGATCGATCGATCAACGGTATCGGAAATTCCGTTTCCTGTTTACCGCTTAAAGACGAGCAAAAGATTTCTATCTACTAGCGTTAGTCCGTTCGATCAATCGTGGATTCACCACCACGGTCGCGTCTTTGCTCGTGTAATCTTTTTATCCCGGTTCTCCCGTGCCACCGGGATAGAAGGTTGGTTGTATAGCATCTCCCGAAGCATCTCCCACCGAGAGAAAGAGCAATATCGTTCGCTTCGAGGCACCCGATCGTGTCCCGAGAGACGTTTCTTTTTTGCTTCGTTGCGATCTTTGCTTTGTCTCCTTCCGACGCTCGAATTATCTATCTTTCCTCTCTCTTTTATTTATTTTTATTAATATTAATATTACTAAATATACCTAATATATATATATAAATTCTCGTCATTTAACATTTTATATAGAAGCTTAAAAATATATAAGGTTATTTTATATAAAAGCTATTAAGTAATATTTAGTAATATATTTAGATATATATGTATATCGGTCAATAAAGCCGATTACTAAATATATTACTAAATATTATTTAATAGCTTTTATATAAAATAACTTTATATATTTTTAAGCTTTTATATAAAATGTTAAATGACGAGAATTTAGTGAAATTTAAAGTAAGAATAAAATATTTTGTTCATTATTCAATTTATATTATAAAAAAATATTGATACTGAAAATAATCGCTTTGTTTGTTTCTTCCTTTTAATTCTTCCTGTGGACATACTCTAGCATTTCTCTCTGTTACGTGACCGTCTTTACGAAATATTATCCTGAACCCTCTAAACCACACATCTGTTTTCATGTTCAACATCGTCGCTTATTTTTCATCTTGACGTCGCTGGACGTAGCGATCCCCCGGAAGCTGTTTCCCGATCGCACAAATGTCCATGGCAAACAAGGCAGAGCCAGCAAGAATCTCTTTGCCGGAGAAGTAGCAACAGTTTGCTGTGCGCGAAAGGATCTCGCGTTGACCTCGGTTTGTTTTCGTGGCCCACTTTGGCGTTCACTTCTCTTAAAACCTTGATCGGCCAGCTAGAGTTTGTCTTGACCTACAAGATCGATACGAGAATGATCTCGCTAGAAATACACCGATGAAAGCGAATACGACGGACCACTTGTAGCGAAAAACAAAGAGACGCCAATGATACTGTCCTAATTCAAGAAAAGCAATCGTAACTTCGCGCATCTTTCAGAGACCTCGATCTATTTTGTCGAATAATATTTTTACACTTGTAATAGTTAATGGGAGTTTTAATGAGACGTGCAGAAATCATTAATTGCAACAGTTATTTTTGTGGACTCTAAAGTAATCAATGAATTTTGTCGTAAATTAATATATACGTCTGTTTCAAAAATTATTAAACTCCAAGGGACAAGAGAAGAAATAAGTAAAATGCTAATGAAGGAAATATTGTAATGTATGCCCATCTTTCCCTCCGAATTGTTGAATTCCCGAATATTCAAAGCTAAGACATGTGTCACATGCTGCCAATAATTTCGCGCGTCTCGCCTAACAGACAGAAGCGTATGTGTTTGTATTGGAGTCGTCGGGTGCATTAACATCGCCAATTCGCGAAGCTCGCCTGCGTATAGTACCTCCGCGTGGCGTCATTTCCGGCTGACACCGGTATTGTGCAGACTACATTGTCCCGCGTGTATTCAATGAGACGGCCCGCGG